ATTAGCGTCATACCTGCGTACAAATAACAAAATTTCATGGAACATAGCTGAATCTATCAGGAAAAAATTATGTAACAAGAATGAAGTTTTACATCATGAATTTCATAATCATTTGAATGGGCTGTAAGAAAAAAGCAAACAATCGTTACAATCAGCTAGTTTATGAACATCAAATAGTGTTGTTTGTTATGTTCTGTCGTCGTCCGAGTCTCATATAAAATGTTTCCGATAAAGATGTGTAAGAAAAATCGGTACTTGAATGAAAAAACCAAGAGTCGAACACTCATGTAGGTCAACTAAATACATTATATGTATATACATAACTCATCCATAAGTGCAAAAGTTTCACAAGAAAAGAAATTCGCATTCTCAATCAATAGCGTATGTCACTCCTACGGAAGTGAAGTTTAATCTTGACCAATAGTATGCGCCAGTCAGCTACTCTGAAATATCATTTGACTTATGAATGACTGCCCCAGGTTACTATTGATTTACATTGAATGCTTTTAGTAATTGTTCGACTTAAAATGAATTTTCATAATGAAAAAACATCAGCTGATAAACCATTGAAAACTAGGATAAATTGGATAGTTGTTTTACCTAAGTTCGAAACTATTCATCCGCAATGACATTCACAATCCCTCATGAGGTTAAACCAAAGACATTTTAGTGTAAAGAGTGACGGAGGTGAGTACAATATTTTACTAATAGCGCTAATCTAATAAGATTATTGTGTTATAGAAATCTAATAAACACAAATCTTAGTATGATCGCTAGTTACACTCTACGATAGTCTAGTAATATTAATAAAGTGAGAGGAATGTCATTATAATTTAAGAAATATGTCGACTTGTTTAAAAGAAAATCATTAGTTTGAAAGAGAAATTTGAAAAAAATCGAAAGTTATAAAAACGATTAGTCTTTCCAATTTAAAAGCAATAGTCAAAGATTTCAACATGTAAATCTTGTATATAAATTTCTTTCGACTGTACACTTTGTTTCATCATATCACCAATATTATCTAAATGAAAACAGATACAATTCATTTGGGTTTTTATCACAACTCATTATATACGATGTAAATAGTTAAAATGTGTTTGACATTAACACATTTTAAATTCTATACACATACGTACATTATGGACTATCTAATGCAGCACACAAAACGTACATTAAACCTGATGACTGAATTTTTGTTGGATAGAAGTAACTTTCTTACAATTATGTAGTGCATTTTTTTAAAAACAAATAAAACTCAATACTATTGTGATATAAATCATGTTAATGTAACTCGGTACAGTTTCTTGGGATTTATATAGAATGACTTTTAAAATATGGAGAAATATTCATCTTTGTAGGACACAAAAACCCTAAAACCTAAACGGCAAAATCCTTTGATCACTTTATAGATTCAATGAATGATAAATTCAAAGGAAACCACCAACAGAAATAATGTAAACTAATAAAATGCGTAGCTCATATTATACTACAATATGGTGTAATTCTATGGCGCAGATAACAGACTGGGTATCGTTACGTCTGATACTCAAGTCTACTGAGTTTACAGTCAAGACTAAGAATTCAGTGTGCAAATTATTTAAAATCTACATCATACAACGAAACCAGTAATGGGTAACTACTGTATTGTACTGCTATTTTTATTGAGATATATTGGAATAAGATCAAAATACTTAATATTAGTTTATATTTTTACACACAACGTTCCAATTACAATCTGAAGAAATATCGTCATCATCTTATGCAAAATGATAGTAGAACCGTTTTATAAATTCCTTTATTCAACTTTGACATGAATAACAAAGTATGGCAGTTTAATCACTCGAAAACAAAATGAGACCGATTTCGATTGCTTGAATACAAAAGCAAAGATTCTGTTTTAGGGCAGTGTTATTGATAAGAATGAATTACACAAATCCTAAAGTGTATATTTCAAATAAAAATAATTTAAACTGAATTCAGTGAACTTTATGATTGATATTTATGGAAAAATGTATAGTTGAGAATCAGAAGCAGACAACAAAGGGATGAACAGTAACTGAAAACGACTGGAAAGGATTTCCCAGCACAGAGTTCGATGGAGAATAATGGTGAGCGGCCCATATCCCTCGACGAGAGGTAAAAGGCGTGAGTATGGTCCAACAGAAAACAATATATTCAAAACGGTAAAGATTTCTTTGCAACTCTATTTTATCTCTTTATCTTATTCTTACTATAACGATTAGCATTGAAGTCTATTCGTGAAGACAAAAACACTTAAATACATTTCATGGCACAATAGAATAACAAAAGAATACTTCTATCGCGCAGGATTAAAACATTCAATAGAATAACGAACAATTTAAGAAATAATCAAGTTCAAATAAAAGATAAAATTCCTAATACTTCCATACGGAAGTGTGCCTACAGATTAGGAAGTGTAGACCGTGATGCATTCTATATTGTAGAGTCTTCTTGTGAAGCCATGATTTGTGCCTAAGAAAGTTTAAGCTACACAAAAAGACCTCTAAATAATCCTGCATTAATAGAAAGTCTGCATATCAAATTGGGAATATCAGTACATACTATCTATAACAACCATCAAATAGATATTAATAATATCGAAAAAATTCTAAAACGATTTCCTAACTATAAAGAAAGGAGAATGGATGAATTATTTCATATGTCCCAAACACTATTGAGCTTAACAGAAAAAAAAAAGCGCAAGGATCCGTTCATCCAAAGATCTACACAATTAATGCTGTTGATATCTCACACCACTAAAAAACATAAGGATACTCTTAACCGAACTCTTCCATATTACAATCTCCACACCCACCAACACACGCACAACTGCAAACAGCTATGTCTCACACAGTAAAAATAACTTTGGCCAAAATGTCATAACAACATTAAGATGATCAGACCTATTTCGATTGTTAATGTACTAAAAATATTCTGCTTTGTGTCCTTTTTACTATTTAGATTTGTGTGAATTTAACTTGATGTAAACGTTTGCTTCCTGACAAAGCGGTTTAAACTAAGTTGCAAAACATCAGAAATCTAATTTTCTACTCATTGGGATTCTACAAATATATTATTTTTATTATCTTTCGTAAGATTAATAGATAGTAATAGCGCATGACAGAAAGTATAATTTATTATACTACTCAAAGCGATCTCATAAAGAATCTTCAAAATCAAATTATTTCAGAACAGGGAACGTAATACTAGTCAATACATTACCTTCCATAATTTTCACATTTTCCAAAAAACAAGAAGAACATATATTTATGTTTGGATGCATATATACGAAAAAAATTAGGATAAGTAAAGGGTGTCAAAAACTTCTGAAACAATCGAAAAAATTGAAGAAATAACATACTTTTAGATTTAGCATTTCACTTTGACTTTCTCACACATACATACACACACAATCTCTGTTCACTGACCAAAAATCTTAAAATTGCAATAGTGAAAATGATTATTTATTGAAAAACGTTAACTGAAATCGTATCGTAAAACAAAAAGAACAAAATATTTGATTTGAAAAAAACATTTTATGTGGTAACAGCTGATCAACATCTTTATAACTTTATGCACTAACATTAGTATTGTTAACCCATATAGACCCCCAAAGCAAACAACAGATGGAAAGAGTTGGATATGAGCTATCATCTACACATTCCAACAAATGATTGCAACAGATACAAAGTTTGGCATTCACTTATTCTAATATGATATCGGGTAAATATAATAGTTGATTAAATCAAAATCGCATACTGAGTATTGACCAGAGCCGTGTTACTCAGATTTTATTGCTGATTGAAGAGTGGTGCTTTTCAATTGATGTTAGACTGTTAGACGCATTTGTGTTAAAGATTAGTTAATAAGTAAGAAATGCTAGTAGAGATCTTGTAACTTGTTCACAATCACTTATCTAAGTAACATAATCTCAAAATAATGCATGTGATTTTATGACCCAGATAATTTGATCACAATCAAATGACAACAAAAATAAAATGATATTCGGTTAAATTCTTTCCTTGAAATGTGATACATGAAAACAAGCGTATCACATATAGTGCTAAAATGAGCAGTTCAGTTTTATTGGAACCTTATATATCACGTTTGAATATCCACTAATATTTCATAAAAACATATGATGCCATCACTGATTATTCCCAACATTAAAACATAATATCTATCATACAAAAACATACAATTAGGGTAATGTTTTTGTCAATCAAAGTCGGGTATTGTAAAGAACAAAACAACTCTATAGCTATTTCGTGAAACTAGTATTATAGAATGTAAAGATTAATCTGCATTATCTGTCCTTACACTTTTATGAACCCAATATTGAGTTACACATGGTGGCAGCTCGAAGTATTCGGAAGTCCACGGACATACATCAGCAAATAAAAACTTCAAGCATCATAAACGGGTGCAGTAGTATCATCTTTTACTGTAAACTTTATCCGTTTCCTAATTTTGAAAGTGTGCCCAAATTTTATTAGCTACTTACTCATGAGAATTAAAAGGCAAGTAAAGTGATTATTGTTCTCATCTCTATAATTTCTACACTAATAATAGACGGATTTACTATTTGAACGAACCTCAAAGATTCAACTTCATAAACTCTAACTCATAAACCTAAATTCAACAAAGAGGATTATTAATCCCTGAAAACTTGAAGAAAGTTATTTTATGTAAGAAAGTATCGATAGTTAAATCTTGAATATTTATGAAAATTAAAAGCGAGTAGAATGATTTAAAGGCGATCATACTATTTATTTTATCTTAAAAGACTTTTCAAATCGACGAACCAATGTTTTACTTTTAAAAAAACTAAATGAATACATAAATGTTTACCGAACTTTAGGTTTCATGTATCTTTCGAAATTATTGATCGGTCGATCAAACAATATCAATGAAGTAAAAAAAACAAACAAGAAAATACAACATAACAGATACTTGACCAACAATAAAAGCAAACTTACCGATCATCTCTTCCTAGGTTACGATTAGATATAAAAAGTAGTTCTTTGAAAAGTTCCCTTTGTAGTGCCTCTGGGCCAAATTTTCTATTTCGAAAGAAACATGATCAAGAAAATAAATATATGAGTGAATAAGCACAGTTTACTTCTTAGTTAACAGAATTGACAAACCATTATCAAAAATCTTTTCAAATGGTTAATAATTATTCTCAACCAAGTGGCTATCAGGACTCAGTGGCCGAGTGGATAACGCGATGGCGTTTGAAGCGAGGGTACTGGGTTCGAGTCTCAGAGTGAACATCAACTCTGAGATGCAGGTACATCCAGCTGACGAGTCCCAAATAAGACGAAACGCGCGTTCTGGATTCCACTGCTAGCCACTATCCATCTCTGTCAACCAATACCGTTTGAATAAAGGGTGAAACGGACTACGAAGATTACCTGGATATTTCATTCGACTTTAGAGTATCTCAAAGAAAGCTGACCCATTATTCTCATGAAACCCACAACCATCAGAAAAGTTTGCATATTTAAAGTAATTTTAAAAAAATATCTCACTGTAGGGTGTCTTTAAATAAGTCCGATTCTAACAACTATCATTAGAATTAACTCAATCATTTTTTTAGTTTAGATATATACCAAAATTAAAAGTTTATTTTCATTACCAAATTGATTAGCGTCACTCACAATACCTGCAGACTAAACGTTTTGACAATTCCTCTGATTAGAATAAACTATAACTCAAAATAGTAATGAGTGTTTGAAGACCTGAGCGTTTCGAACACAGAAATCGACTATTAAAACATTTTTAATTCCCGATTGCAGTTTATGAATCTTCGAATAATTTCACTTTGATGGAGGAATCAAAGTAGAATAGAATAACCTTAGTGGATGGATCTTGTTTTATTCTTTGGAGGACTGTAAATTAGTAGTTTTTGAAAACAAAATGTCTAGGACCGAATTTTGATCAGTCTTTGTTGTTATATGTGTATCCTCTGTAGATTACCTATTTATACACTGATGTATTCAGTTTATGATTCATAAATATTCCAAAACGCGAGTCCTGAGTTCCTTAGCTATTTACAATCTATTTGTTATAACAAAAAAATATTACGTTAATTAAAATCCCCCCTTCGAATTTTTCACTATATCAAAGTGATATTTCGCTTATCATATGAAAACAACTGCAAGGTGAAGTACTTTCTAGTTCATCCATCTTCAGTTGTCGACTACTTCAACAGCTGCAAAAACCAAGGAAAAATTAATCACATAGCAAGCTTACCCACTAAAACACATACACATACAAGAAAATGAACTAATGAGACTGAAATAAACAAAGGGGATTCGGAGAAGTGATCCATCAAACTGTGGACTGATCTAGTAATACTGAAAATTCATTCCCAACTTATTATCATTTCGCATTTTAAATGTGATAGATAATTAACATTTGCTCCCTTTTTTCAAATCTCATTTTTAACTTGATTGATTGACAAATAAATTTGTGATTTTACATCGAATGAGGTGACTTGTTTTTTTCTTCATAAATTGTAAACAAGTTAGTTTTAATTGAGTTGTTAAAAAAAGCAAGATAGTTATACTTGTGTTTTTATCATGTGTGTTTTTCATGCTGGTGTTTTCGTTTTGAAAGATAATGATTTCATACTTATCATGATACGTTATCTGTACATTCTCATGGTGTACAAGTCATCAGTTACACTAAACAATATGGCATCCCATTTCAAAGTTACTTAAAATATAAAATAAACATGTAATTACTAAAGTGTAAACATCTTGTACAAAACCGTTAAGAAAATTTCGTTTCCTGATGATGAGCTGTAGTCAACAGTAAACATAATACGTTCAAAAAAATAACAGTAATCATTCTTTGTACGGTTATGAGGATTGAGAAAGATGAATGTACAACTAAGAATGCTTCATAGGAAGAAAGAAGGACAATGATAAGCATAAAAAAGAATTTTTGAAACCTTATGAGCCAATAATATTTAACTTGAGTTGTAGACGAGAATAAGCGAAGAGGTAAATTACACTTCTTCCGAATACTTTGGTTTCACCAACTATCTAGACAGTTGGAAAAAATAAACCATGAAATGTTCATCAAACCAAAGAATAAACTCAAGATTATTCCACCTTATATTTTTGTCATTCACTCTTTAATTCCTTCACCTGAAATAACAACCAAGTATCATTAATTATTCAAAATATACAATGAAATAAAGTAGTGAAAATAATAGTAATAAATAATTCCAATAATCAGGGAACACTATTTCAAACTGCCCGTAACGATGACAATGATTATTATTGTCATTTCCTATTCGGATAAAATGTCTTATGTTGACAGACCTCTAATTTCGAAGTACCTATGTATTTGTAAGTTACAATGAAAGTTAGGGGTGGTGAAACCAAAACGCGGCATCAATCCTTGAAGTCACTAACTTCGGGTCTGAGACATGTTGGTAGATGCACACTACTTAGTTGGGGTCCGTTCAACTATCGCAATCAATATTTGGAGATTCCAGGTGACATGGCTCAGAATCAAACACAGTGGCGTAGCTGTATACACTCTTTGTCTTCCCTTAAACAGTGAGATTAAAATTGCTTTATACCCTTAATTCTACGAACTTATTCTTTCGCCCTGTATTATATACTTATATGCAATCTTCGTTTTACATATTACGACTATTGGAATAACTACTTCTATGAATTTGGTGATCATCTTGTTGTGCTTATGAGGTGTGGCAACTTGAGTCGGTGCATATATGTACCTGGTCCTACGTTGTAGCTGATTCACTGAATGACAAAGCTTATTAATATACTCTTTAATACTGTGTCTTTTTTTCTGTAAAGAATACGTTAACGCTGAGTATGCACATGTTCGAACAGTAACTATTGGGTACGTTACTTTTTGATTACAGAAGATGTTACATCAGATTAGTGATTTTGTAAAAAAAAACACCATTAATCGCCATGATTGTTGTTAACGGTGATCGCGTATAGTTAAGTTACATTATGCAATTGGACGAACGTTTGCTTCAACTTATCTAAAAAATATAGTCGTCCCATCATGCTTTGAAATGTAACTACCAATCAATTATCACGGTCAACATGATAGAAAAAGATTTTACAGCAACTTTATTTACCAATAAGATAGTTTTCAGCTTGAAGAAATCACTGACCTGATATATCTCGTCATGTAAACGAAAAGTACATTTACACTCATTATCTTTCAAATTTACAAATGGTCAAGCGTGAAAAGATATTCCTCATACAAGTAAGTCATAGCATTAAATTACTTACACATGAAGTGAGTAAATTTAGATGAAAAAGTAATAAATATACGAAGTTCAATTGAATATCAATATGCTATTCCCACCTGTATACATAGAAAGATTATATCTTACTAAGAGAAGAAACCAGTTATGTAAAATTTTTTGAAAATCATACTCAAGATTATTTAATGAAATATCTTTAAAAGATTATAATTATGGATGGGGCCGATTTAGTCCATCGAATGGTTTTTGAAAATGCGTTATTTAATTGACATGTCTTTATGAGTACTATGTCCAGTACTTGAACAACCGTCAGTATTTTCTAGCTTTTACCTAGTTCCTTAGAAACCCCCTACATTTATTCCCTGAACAGAAGACAAAAGCAGAAAATAATGAATAGACATTTTACCTCCAACGTTAGTTTAGGCACAAAAAAACAAGAATAATTTTGGGTTTATTAAGAGTTTGCCTATTCTCAAAATTTTTGGAAACATGCTAAAAATATAACAAAATCGTGAGTTAATCAGCCATAAAATGATCAATAATGCACCATTTTTCTATAATTTTAGAGAAGTTCTAGTAAAAGAAGTATTTACATGCTTCTAGAAACTTATCCATAGAAATCCAAACGGCTCCTAGCATGTATATATATATATATATATATATATATATATATATATTTGGATTATAAAACTAAAGACACAATGTAATACTGAGTTTTTACCAACGGGTCAGCAACTGAATTAATTGTATCGCTGATCAGATTCGCATTTGACATTTAAAACAATTTAATAAATAATATGAATTGAAAACACTTCAAATTAATACTAAGATCTTTTAAATTGAATATCGAGTTGCTGTAGTACAGTAAAGAGAACGCTTCGACAGAGAAGAGTCGTTTGTAATTCTTTTTAAAAAAACAAAAAGATCTGTAACTAGAAAGTTCACCAAAAACAAACAAAAATCAATCTTGAAAAAGCTAGATCAACTAAACCACAATTTCTCCAACACAAACATATATGTGTAAATGTTGATAGAGAAAAACAACAAACATTAAGAAGTACACGCTAGTCACAGTGAAAAGTTCACAAGAGACATGCAACGATTTTTAATAAAAAATAAATTAATGCTTTTGATTTAGGTTATTAGAAAAAAACATAGTGAAGACACTTATTCCATTTTTACTATTTACCATAATATAATTAATGTGTATGAAAAGCTTTTCTATCAAAAGTATACCAAAAAGACAGTTAAATCACTTTTTTTATTTTCATTGGTGCCTAACAGTACTTACCACGAAGGATCAGTGTAATATATGCACAGAAGCGTGTATTAATCATTATCTCGTGTTCTGTTTAGTTTCTACCTTATAATCAGATTATTTGTCCCAAATTTGTAACAGACGTTAATCATAATTAAGCTTAGAATCAGATGTCTATAAATTACAATTAATTATTTGAAATAAAAAGCGTTCACTGAAACCATCACAATTATACCAAATACAAGAAAAAATTCACTAGTCATTCTCTAGATCGCAATAAAAGTACAAATACGAATCAGCAACATGCAAACATTTTATGGTAAAAATGAAATCAGCATTTTTTTACACTAGTACTTTACGAAATTCGAACACATCCTAAAACGCTATTCACAAAATGTACATCATACTTTTGTGGCCCTGTATCTGACTCCAGGTAGATCATATGAAAGATTATTATTGAAATATATATATATATATATCGTCAATCCTCGTATATGATTATCAACTTAACTTGCGTTAGTGAATAAACGGAATTAAATAAGTCGAATACGAGAACAAATTTCGAATACGTATATTTCATACAATCGTTGATCCAGACAAACCAGCGAAGGGACGAAGCGAAGTGAAATGACAGGCGATAGAGTGGCGTGTGAGCCAACTCGATTTAATCAAGCGTTAATCAATATTAATAGTCGAACAAAAATAAGTCACAGACGTGATGAATAGGATAAGAAATGAACAAGCATACGCTAATTTAAAAAGAGTCAAGGCTGATTAGTGAATAGTTAACAAGGTCAAAATGTAACTCAAGAGGAATGAATCAAATGGCTTGTCCGGAAACTAAAATAAACTATATGGGTTTAACATAGTAACCGAAGCTACAATACAAAGTAAACGGTTTGACACTAATTTTGTTGATCAGTAGAGAGAAGAGGTAAATTACCACTGTGCATTGTGACTGTGTAGAGTCAATTCAAGAACGTTTTTCTCAAGTGGGAATCATATTCACAGAGATAAACTTCAATGATCAAGTATTAGAAGCATTTGTATATCATCCATCGATTTTTAGACTAATAAAGTATAAAAGCTTATAAAAACATTAAAAAAGTCTCTCTTCATTCTCAATTATGAAAACCTATTTACTGCAACTCAGGTTATACAAAACCCGATGCTTAACAAATGGCCAATATCAAATTTAAAAATATTTGCTATGATCGACATAGATTATCGGCCAAAACATCTCGCATCATAGATAAGTGAGAAGAAACTGTAAAGTACTTATTTAAAAAAGAAACTAGAGAGGTAAATACTGACCAACTGATTAAATGCTTAGCAGATTGCGAGCAAATTAAATATCAAGTGGTCATGGCAACATGGCCTTAAAACTGACTGACTGAAAAATCAAAATACACTGTTTGTATGATAAGTAAAAGTAGTTCTAACTCTCCATCAAAAATTAATTTATAATTTGGTAATTAAATGTAGTGATAAACTGTAAAACACCTTTCTCTAAAAAGATCATTAGTATAATTACAACTAGAGAGATGAAATAGAGGTGATTTTCATTACAACCCCAAATTGAAGAGAGAGAAATGAATAAAGACTAGAGATCAAAAATCAACATCTACACGATAATATTCATGGTAATGATATAGTATAGTTTGAATTGGTCAAATTTAAGAAAGGAATATAGACTTAAAACTCAAATTGAATTAATATGTGAGCAACAGTAAGATTTTATAAGAGATTGAAGGATTACAAAGAGATTGTTTTGCTACACTCATAGCTATCACAGTAGAAAAGGGCTTATCACGTCATCTTCCTGTCAACAGAAGTTAAGTTGAAAATGTTCGATAGCCATTGCTTCCATAAAACGGTGTATGATATCTTTTATTGTCTCCTAAATTCTTTGAACACATAACTACCCACTATCCACCAAGTGACTCGAGAGTGGATTTGCGAAGACATTATCGTCTTTTAAGCATAGGTTCAGAAAAATTGGTAGAAGCTCTTTTCTTTATCCTTTCCACATACATACTACCTCAAGCACATCTATATCTATCCATGAAATCGAACGTTAGGTCGGGAAGGTAATGATCTACATTTGAAAGGCTGAACTAACAACCGGTGTTATGTACTTAAATCAGTTGAGCTACAGGACAGATTATAAAGTAGATTCTTTTTTATTGGACCTAATAACCTCTTAGATTGAAAATAAAACTGAAATGTAATCTAGTTCTTAGTGTATGGTCTAAAAATAAAGAAGAATAGTTAAAGTAACACAAGCACAAAGAGAATCTATACACAAACATATAAAAATTAAGAATGAAACAACAAGTAACCCAACAGTAATTAATTTATCTGACTAATTGAATAACACCATTGATAGATGAAATATACACCTGAAAAGAAAACAAGTTAATTTATACAAAAAACAAAGAAATGCTTAAATTACAGTAGATATATACCATCCGAACACAAGACGATTAAGAGTTTACATATAGGTTAACAATTAAATAACTTTTATTTCTACCATTAGAACACTGATGAAAATTATCTTGAACATTAAAAAGGAATTTAATCATTGAGTAAATTCTCATTATCCTCCTTTAAATAGAATCCATTTCAACTATAATTTACTTCAATCATTCATAGGTAAAATACCATCTGGCATATATTTATATCAGTCCAAATTATCAAATACGCGACTTGCAAGCAGATTATACATAAATTTATGGATATACATTATGTTAGTTAGTTTTCATAGTGTGTTCGGTATAATACACAAAAAGTGATTTAGTGTTTACCTAAAGACAACTATCATTTACTCATAGAGGTAGAATATATAAGATTGGAAAAGAAATATCTTTAAAACTATGGTAAAGAAATCCTCTCTTTATACACAGTTAAAATCAATTGTTTTCGTAGTGATGTGCTAATATTCACTTTGATGGACTTTTTTCATTATATGCATATCTAGGATGCTAATCCCACTCGTCAATTTGTTAATCAATTTATATCTTAGGAATAGGAAAAGACCGTAGAATAAAGATAGGAATATATTCTATTTTATAAACATAGGGTTTGATTATTCGCACTTATCCACATCCGCATATACAAGACATCCTCAAGAGAAAATCTTCAAACTTTCAAGATAGTGTGAGTAACCATACACATTACCACCATTCAAAATGTAATCAGTTTCTATACATAAATAACTACAACAATTTCACGTGCATTATTTTTTATTTAAAGATCATTCACGCACAAACCGAAGTCTACTAGAAATCATTTTCAAGCCAGAGATCATTGATCAACTTTTTTGTAATTCGGCACTCCTCAGTAGTCCCATTTAACCCTACGATAACTAAACTGGATCCTATTGATAGATTCAAAACAATTCCGGTTTAAAGCCTAAATAAATCAACTGCTCAGTTGAATTATCTGTTATTTGTATAAAAAGTTTTCTTAAATAATCTTTATCAAGGTTTTCGTCCTACAGATTTAAAAAACACAAAGAATATATAATAATGATTATAGAGCAGGGTATAAAAAAGGAAATAAGGAAAGATACACTAGATTCAAAGATGTTTATCGAGAAATTGATAAACAGGAAATCCTAATGAGATAGAATTTCGCAACTAGGCATTATGTTTAGTAAGAACAAATTATAAATAACCCGTGAAATATGCAAGGATATATATGAGATATTATTAATTGTTTCTTAGAGCAAGTCGATTTCATTTTCTTTCCTTATCAAGTCATCACAAGAACAGCACTACAGAGAAAAAAACATTAACAGATTTGAAAGAAAAGTGATAAGAGAGGAAAAAGACGAATATAAAAAAAAGAATTGTGAGATCAAGTATGTTATAAGACGAAAATCACTTATCTCATGTTAGTGATTAATCTCGAGTGAAGCATATGAAAACCGTATAAATAAATATTTTAGATAACTGTTATTAGCAATTGCAACAGTGTGTGTGTGTGTATGTTGATACGTGTTCCAGAAGGAACGTGAATGAATATGGTCGTTAGGAAAAAAATAGAATTTGTTGCCATATAAGAAAAAAAAAGAAATCAACATATTGAGTTCTCGACTCGAATAAATTATTACCATCTTTGAATCATAGAAAACCATGGTGAGTTACACGTGATCAATACATGTGTTAATGTATAATTATACAAGCAAAACTACACGACCGCACACAATACTTAAATTCTGTTGGACAAGAGGAGAATATCCGCATGTCCGTTTTCTAAATTAAAAAAATTTAATAAAATGTATTTAAACACACCACACGTATTTATAGAAAAATAAATAAGCAATTGGAAGTCATGACAGTTTTCTGTTTAAAATATGAAAAAAAAACTAAATATAATTACATAAGTGAAATCAGGGAATATTGATAGTTAGAATACAACACAAATTTACCCTACTTAATACATAAACACTATCTTGTAAAGTATTCAAGATGGAATTCAATTAAGACATGTATATACATATATTTATTTATATATATGGTTGATGATATATGAGAATACATCCTTAATCAAGGAAAAAACCGGAACACTAATAAAGAAAGATAAAAAGTTTAAAAAAAATTAAATAATGAACAATCAATTGCCAGCAGAATCTTTGATAACAACTGCAACAATCAATAGAAACACTTATGACAGTTTATTAACCATGTCACAGAAGTATACAGAATTACTTAATTTGTAAGTTGAAATATTTTTTAGATTTTTAAGTCTCAATTTTTTTTCATGTTGCGTGATAAGTCATAGTTGAGTTAATCAATCATGTTAGTTGAGAAACTAGACAATTTCACGCTTAATCTTACTATCATATTTTTTTCTAAAGATATATATATATGATTGAAGTATTTAATCGGACAGATAAGATATACATTTTATGATTATCAACAGTTAATATAAGATATGACATGAACTGAAAACGTTTATGCGATGGTTACATCATAAAAATATATCAATGTAATATTTAGTCGAAATCCTTAGTCTAAAATAAACACTACTTAAATTATCCATTATTTAGTTGTCAATATCACCGTGTTTGCCATCGACTTTCATTGTAACACAGACAACCACAAATATTCACTATTAGGGTTAGACTTACATGCTTCTGTGATATAATAAAGATGTTTACGGTACACAGAACAATATAAAATAATTTATTGAAACCTTTAACACTGATCAAACAGTTTGATTATGTTTCTATTATTTACTAGCTTGTCTACATCGTCAAAAATATTAGAGAGAACACTTGGAATTACACATGAATAATATGAATATAAATCGTAGTAAAAATGTTACGATAGTTCCTTATAAAGTGGTGAAAGAATACCACTTAACTTTGCATCATGAGCAAAATTAAATATGAAGTAAATAATTGAGTTTTTTATTATCAGGATACTTATGGCACTTATAAAAGAAAGATTACGTAACAAGTGTGTGTACTGTAATGGCTTATAATCAATCATTGTGAAACTATATTAATATTTCGAGATCATCTATATTTCAAGTGGGCATTTTGAATTTACTTCAATTGCAAAACTAATCAGGAAATAAAAATTCCAAGTGTTTTTTACATGGAAAAACAAATTCAAATAAAACTTCATGAAAATAATGATCAACTCTTGTATTTTTGTTAAGATGTATGGGAGAGAAAAAAACATTAAAACAAAAATGATGGCTCCGAAATAAAGTAACTTGATTGCCCATATATGAAAGTTAAGACAGATAATAAACATTTAAATACAAGGCACAAAACAAAATTTTAAGACGAAACTTAATGATAATAATCAGTTTTGCAAACCATACCGACTACTAAATATATTTTCCTATTGTTGCAATGTGCAACTTGAGGCAGTCAGATATTTTCTCATTAGTTTACAATAAAACAATAAAGTACCCAGGAATATATGTTCGATTATAGATAAAAGAAATGATCCAACAATGATGACAACAAACTTTTTATTTAAAAACCGTCAGGCATCGTAGTTTAGTTAAATATAATTCATTGCCAGCCCCCAATCTGACTTTTCTTCTATCAATCAAACAATATTAGCTTTAAAATAAATAAGACAGGAATTAATTATTCGTTGCTTTCATGAAATTCAATTGAAAGTGTATAGATTTTACATACAGTTAGGAGAAATAGTGGTTAATGTGAATTTTTTTCAAAAGTAAAAAACATACTAGAAGGATAAGTTTTTGATAGTATCTTACATTTAATCGACAACAGTTATTTGGAATCTTACAAATGTGAATTATGCCAACTTTACCACTCAATTATGTTGAACAATGCTAACTTTTATTAAAACGATAGTTTGTACATGATTGATATCGACTAATGAAACTGATAATCAACGTGCTTTAAGATTCGCATCATCAAACTATTTCTCATTTAGAAAACTTTATGACTTCAAAGAGTATATATGAATATATATATATATTTGTGAAGCATGGAAAATTGAATATTAAGACAGTCAAAAACAATTTATTTTTCGCTCTTATAAGTAGCGGTCTAAATTTAAAATTATTTATCATTTGGAACACGTGCAAAGAGTAATTTTCACAGAGAAAATGTGCATAATGACAAACATAATAGGTAAATGGAAGGCAGCAGAAAAATATTTTCTTAAAAAAAACAAGATCAAATAGCAATATTCTGGTCCATTCACGGTGGCCCGAAAACATCTCACAGCAGTTATTACTCGTGAGATCGTGTGAAATTGTCTATTACATACCAATTTGACTATATTTATAGCTTTTCTAAGTGTATTTGTACTGAATTGCATCGATTCAATTAAGTAGAAACTGCAACTGAAAACATTGAAATAGAACAGAATAAAGAGTATAACTTTTCTACAAGAAAAGATGGTATATTCAGTCTATTTATTAAAAAGAAGCAAAGACAAGGACGAACAAAAATAACCATATACACAATGTAAGAAAGGAAAATTGTTACGAATTCAGTAAAAGTCAAATATGCAACTTCTTTTATCCACCTCCTTATTAAATAATTATTACCTTTGAAAAGTTCGAAGAACTGGATGGTCATTACATCCAAGTGAAGAGGTTCACAGCAGTAGGCATCGACGACCCCATATCCGGTAATCGGACCGAGAACATTCGTTCTCGCGTGAAAACGCCTAAACTTTAGACCACTGAGCCGTGATCGAACATTTATATTAAAAATCTGAAGCTTTGAAAACTTGTCAACAAACTCACTGGTTCATACAACTATCGTGAATTCGTGATGAATAGCCAATTAAAAAGAATAGTTTTTTTCTTCACTCAATTTGTGTTTTTGGAAGAGTATTAATGTAAAAAATAACAGAAGATGGCAGCAACTTAATCAGTTCTATTTAATTATCCAAGTCTCCCATTTTTAAATCATTAGTTCATAGTAACTCTTAGCAATTAGAAATCAGGGGTTATAAAGAACAAAAACTCATAACATGTAATAACAATCAAATCAGAATATTGAACAACTATAAATACCATTAAACATTAAATCACAAAATAACAACATTAATTGGTCCTACAAGGTATCTTAAAACAAATCAACAATATCATGTTGTTGATGAATGGCATATGAAATAATCATCCAGATGTTAAAGCACTTGTCATTTATTCACCATGACTATACCTTTAAAACTTGTCCCACTAATTTCAGTCTTCGAAGTTTGAAAATAACAGAAATACGCATACCAAAAGGTGTATCTTAAAGTCAGATACACCAAAGTTTGCTCGCTTTCATACATATTTTTTTTTCATTTAACGATTAAACTAGTATTTAACTTCTATGGAAGCTTTAATTGATTTAATCAGTAAATCAATAGTTCAATAGAGACAAAAAACGAGATGAAAAATAAATATTTAAACGCACTTAATTGCGTATATCACTTAATTGAAGTAACATAAACACTTGATCTCTTATTCTCTGCTACTCTTGCATGTTTCCTTTAACAATCCAAATTAACAACAGGTTATCAAGATAAAACAAAAAGAAAAACAAACAATATTGGGTACATTATTAATCGAAAAAAGAAAGAACGTAACTTGTTTTTAAACAGAAATTCTTCAAATATTCTATATTTGTAGAAAAAATTTAAACAACTTTCACAATTTTCGTGTAAAATAGATAGAGAATAAAACGAGAAAGACAGGAAGGAGTTAAGAAGGGTAAATAAGTAAAATATTGATCGGTAAATCATCAACATTTTACGTCGTATGAATGTTAACACATAAATGAAAGAAATATGTGATGAAGAAATTACTCGAATTTTTGAAGATTTCCTATTGAGATAACGAACTGACCTAAGTTAGACAACCATTGAAAACCAGGATTTACTATATGTCCTAGTACGAAGCAAGTCAAGGGTAGCGCCTAACCCTGAAACCAATAAACCAGCATCAAATGATCTACAAGTTGGAAAAATTTTTTGAAATGATTCTTATCAACTGAAAGACTGTTGAAACCAAAAAATTAAGATATATGGCATAACACTAACTTATTGAAGTTGAATAGCACAAAACAATGAATCGCGAACAAGTGGCTTATAAATACGAAATATGCTGGGAAACCTGAAAATTCTGGATTGATGCTTGTTGCGAAGTGACAGTAATCTCAAACAAGGAACAAAAAACCATCCAGTGTCCCGTTATGTTAAATGACACTGTGTATTCTCAGTTTATGATGAATATTAATTTCGAATAGTAAACTGTTGAGGAGAATCTAGGAAAATATTTAAGTAATGGATAGAAAAATGTTTGAAAAAAACACCATTCTCTACATTTTTACTTCTTTATTATTGGAGTTAAAATGCAAAATAGCTGTATTAGCAAACTAATGAACAATTTCAAATTACGATGAAGCCAAATAAATAAATTTATCTGATATGAAAATCTATAGAATAGTCTGAAATAATTTTAAACCAGATAAGCCCATATTTTGTGAACAGATACAAATCACCTATATATATATATATATATATCTGGTAATTCATTTATAAAGTCACGCACACTTTATCTAAAGTAAGCCATCATAGAAAGATAATGAATTGTCCTTAATCCAAATATCCCCTTCATTGTAGTGCGGTGAAATAATATGAATTTGAATCCCCAAAGAATAAGGTATGTTTTAAACGCAAGTTATCAACTTTAACACAAAGATACCGACCTTTTGGAAATCCATTACAAAATACAGTCTAAATACTCAAAATGAAAATAATCTTTTACGTATAATTTTAATTAAATAAAATGAGATGAAGTTATGCAATAGTAGTAGTAACTAGAGAAATCATAAAGAAGAAACGTTCAAACAATCTTCATAGCATAATATTTTATCCAATAATGTTTCGAATAACTGGCACGTATAAATGTAAAAGTCAAAAAGACCATTTTGAATACAAATCATTCGATTTGTGTGAGGGCTGGAATACTTCTCGAGTGCCTAAACAGAAGCAGGTAGTTTCCTTAGGCGGCTATACCCCCACCCTCTGGCCTACAGATTTATTCTACAAGGCTGTGGAGAAACGTTAGAAAATGCAGTCCAATGGTGGTCAGTGACCAACAACAAGTTCGTACACCTTTTGTTCTTTTGTGCACTATTGGTTTGGAATCAGGGTTTTCCAACTCCCTTAGGTTGATACTCCATATCCATTAACTCGGTTAGAGAGCGAGACATTCGCTTT